GGTCCAAAGCAGTGCAGACAAATGCATGTTCATTTTCATCATCTGAGTCAGATGCCACCAGCAGAAGGTTGATTTTCTTTTTTGATGGTTCAGGTTCTGTAGTTTCTGCATCCGAGTGTTACTCTTTTAAGACTTCTGAAAGCATGCTCCACACCTTGTCCCTCTCAGATTTTGGAAGGCACGTCATATTCTTAAACCTTGGGTTCAGTGCTGTAGCTCTCTTTAGAAATCTCACATTGGTACCTTCTTTGCGTTTTGTGAAATCTGCAGTGAAAGTGTTCTTAAAATGAACAACATGTGCTGGGTCATCATCCAAGGCAGAAATACATGTCAGAAAGCGCATAAAACAGAGCAGGAGACATACTATTCTCCCACAAGGAGTTCTGTCAAAATTTAATTAACACATTTTTTTAACGAGCGTCGTCAGCATGGAAGCATGTCCCCTGGAATGGTAGCCGAAGCATGAAGGGGCATACGAATGTTTAGCATATCTGGCACCTAAATACTTTGCAATGCCAGCTACAAAAGTGCCATGCGAACACCTGTTCTCACTTTCAGGTAACATCGTAAATAAGAAGCGGGCAGCATTATATCCCAAAAATGTGAACAAACTTGTTTGTCTTAGCGATTGGCTGAACAAGAAGTAGGACTGAGTGGACTTGTAGGCTCTAAAGTTTTACATTGTTTTGTTTTTGAGTGCAGTTATGTAGCAAAAAAAAAATCTACATTTGTAAGTTGCACTTTCTCGATAAAGAGATTGCATTATGGTACGTGTATGAGATGAACTGAAAATACTATTTCTTTTGTTTATCATTTTTACAGTGCAAATATTCATAATAAAAATAATAATATAAAGTGAGCACTGTACAATTTGTATTCTGTGTTGTAATTTAAATCAATATATTTGAAAATATAGAAAAACACCCAAAAACAGTTAATAAATTTCAATTGATATTCTATTGTTTAACAGTGCAATTAAAACTGCGATTAATTGCGATTAATTTTTTAAATCGCGATATTATTGAGTTAATCGCGTGAGTTAACTGCAATTAATCGACAGCCCTAGTTATTATATTGGTGTAGTAGGGCCCTTACATTGGCAGGAGCAAGGCTGTAGCGTAGACACTGACATAGTTAGGTCGACATAAGCTGCCTTTTGTCAACCTACCTCTGTAGCGTAGACCAGGCCAAAGAAACCCCTTTTCAACAGTGCTCCAGAAGTACTGTAGAGAAGATAGGGCAAGAAATATCTATAATTTACCCACCACTGAGCCACTTACCCATGCAGAGCACGAATTACAGTTTTCTCTAAAGAATTGTTGGTGTATTTGCTATCTAAATTGAAGAGGTATTCAGCTTCCCATTGACATGTCACCTTAACAGATCCATCACAGCTCTTCACTGTGTGAGACTTGGAGAAGTCTTCCTTCAACCTGGAAGAAAGGGCACCTCTTCTGCGTTTTACCACCAAGTCGTCAAATGGCTTCTGCGCATGAGTATTGTTCTGCTGATGCCGGAAAGGCAGAACTTTCCCAATTAGAGGACCCGATTTAGCACTTTTAGCTCCATTTCTGAAGGCAGCAGGGCCCTGTGCTCCTTTTGGGAGGGCGTTTTTTTTAGAATGTTCTGATATCTGTGAGGCATAAGAGTGCTCAGAGGCAATAGAAGAATGCTTGTTCACATCTGAAGTATCTAGCGCCTCCTTGGAAAGCAATGGCCGGGCTTTGGCAGAGTTAGGGCTTGTGCAGTTCTTCTTGCTGGAAATTACAGGGCTTTTATCTCTTGGGATAGCAGCTAAGTCTTTTCTTAAATCAGATTTTGCAGGAGAAGAAAGTTTCTGATTCTCTGTTTGGCTAGAAGAGGATCCTCCCTTTAGATGTTTATCCACCCTGTGGTATTCATGATCTGAAGCAATTCGTGAAGGCTTCCTTTTCCGAAGAGAGCGTCGCTCTTTTGACAGGTCATAAGGAGAGGCAGCTCTACTATCTTTATGATCAAGTGGAGGAATGCAAGAGCTCAGAGCTAGATCAGCCAACAAATTCAACCCATGTGATTCACAGTTACTTCCTTTCAGAGTTAGGTTGACATCTTGAGCAGTAACACTGTGTGTGTAAGTCTCATTTACGCCACTGACTGTCCCTTGACTTTCTGATGGAACTTCATTTGATGACAGTGACAAAGTCTCTTTCTTTACTGCATAAGAAAAACAAAATCAGATAATAAATACTGAACCACATATTTCTATCATGAGAAATACTTAAAGTAGAGTTCTGCTCTTAAAAGTGACTGTCCAAATGGCATCATGGCATTTATTACTTCTCAATTATTTCCACCTCAAATATACCCAGTTTGCAAGTAAAAAGATGGTAAATTTGCAAATTTAAAATAAAGTTCAAGAAATACAAAAGTTAATTTTGCTATTGTTGTTACAGTAGCATTTTAGGATTCGCTTTGTTGTGCAAGGAGCTGTACAGAGAGAGGCTGAGAGTTTACGGTGTAATAGAATCTTAACTTGAACACACTGCACATACTGAATATATTCAAGTATACATTTAAACAATACAGCCAGTAAGGAAAAATACTACATATATACAGTGTAACTGCTCTTTAACCTTACTTTTACATTTCCTCTCTTTTTTCATTTTAATTTGCAATCTTCATGTTGCATGAACAGTGGTTTGCTTTTAGTTCTCCACATAGTTTCTGAAGTCTTTAAAAAGAGGAAATGAACCCCACTGATGCATGCTTCCAAGTAGTGCATAATCAGTTCTTCCAAGTGCATAATACAGATACATGCATCTCAAAGACTGTGCACTTTATACAGATCCAGGCACAATTATGGTGCCTTCTGGAAGTCATCGAGTGACACAAAACTCCAGAGCGTCAGGAATATTTATTCATTTATTTATTTATTTATCCATCCAATGTTTAAAATGCACCCACCACCATGTCTCTGGGCATGTGCATATAAAAACAATACAAAAATTATATAACATTACATAAAGTAGACTCATAATAAAAAACAGTACAAAAATATCCCTTCCCACTCTTCATGCAAAGCCCTGAAAAGATACGCTCTGTATAGTGTCCTGAGGGCTAAACTCTGGCTCTGTAGCAAGGCATTTAAGTTGTGTTTTTCTTCTTCCTAAAAATTTTCCCTTTTTTTTGGCTGGGACTCTGCTCCCAGTTTCTTTCCCTAAAATATTATACATCTACGTACGTGTGTAACCAAACCAAAACAGGACGTGCCCTCTGAGGGCATAAACAAGACAATGGACGGGCTTGGTGCTCAACTTTGAGATTCCACCTCACCTCGGCCACAGCCAGTGCACAGATGGGAGACGAGTGCTAATCTAACAAACGCTGAATGAAGTATATTGCTTACACCACAGACAGCACTGCTTATTTTTTATGGTCTGTAGTAAAAGAATAACGATTCATAATTTGAGTCCAGGGAGTGAGATTACTCTCCAAAACCTTCTCTCCACTTGGCAAAGGGGCCAGAGAGAAAGAAAGACTGGAGACAGAGAGATCTAGAGAAGGATGTTGTAAAACATGCTGAGTTTAAAAAATGTAAGGGCTTTCCTGTTCCATCGTTTATTCTGGCACTTTAATACTAGTTCTCAGTTGTAGACAGAGAGTCTTTGCAAGCCAACATTTGCACATACTGTATAAACAGGCTTTCCACACTGCTTTTGAAACTCTCTCTAGTTTATTCTTTTGAGTTGTGGCAATTTCACTATTTTTAAAAGCACTGGATTTACAGTATAATAAGCTAAAAACCTGGTCAGATGCCAAATATAAATTGGGCTTATAAGACACGTTACACAATTTGCCTTAAAGCAGTTTAAAAGCATGAGCCATTCTCAGATGTGAAAAGAGCAGTTTGAATGATCAGAGAACTGCACATTTTCCAAGCTTACTATCTGAGTGATTAGGAAGTGTCTCAAAGAGGCTGGAACAATTTACAAATCAAATTGGATATTCATGATATCCCTAATATTTTAGATGAAAAGTTACACAAAGAACAACATTCTTACCAGGTTCCAATTTTTGTATTGCTTTAGGCTTACAGCTCCCTTTAGGTATGGTTTTTATGGTCTTACTTTTTGTTTGCTTTGCAACTTGCTCAGAAATCTGATCATTTTTTGCATCTGGTTGCTTAAGTTTCCTTGGTTTCTTGGCAGCCAAGCTAGTATCTTCAGGCGAAGACGTTCCTTTAGTTGTAGGCTCAGATTGTGTTCTGTGTACAAATTCTGCAGATAGTACCTCAGCACCTTGGATGAAAAAAGGTCTTTTTAAAGGGGGGTTAGTTAAAAAAAAAATTTTAAAAAGAAACACTAGTTTCAATAGACATAGGAATGTACGAGTTACTGCTGACAAGTAAGCACTGGTGACAACACAGTCCAGATGACAACTGGTTTAAAATATTTGATTTTAGAAAGAGGGGTATATGACTGAAAGTAACCAGCAAGTGCTTATTAAAATTTAAGCTTCAACACACAAGCTTATATTAGTGCACTATTTCTCAACACTTTCACTGTCCAAGAATCAACACTTGATCAGTGTGAACTCGTTTGACAAGTTACTGTACTCCTCCTGCTTGGCACATCTAGATGTAAAGCCTAGATGTATTTATTTAGCATTCCAAGTGGCTTCTGAGCCCTTGTCTCATATTGCTCAGAACTGTAGCCAGGAGCAGAAGCTTTTGGGTAATTTCCAAATGGAGGGCAGCGCAGTGCAGGATGGAGTTTGGCATGTTGGTTGAACAGGTGCAGCCATACTCATAGTTTCCAATCCACATGGAGGAGAAACCATTGTAGACTCCACAAATTCAGCCTAACCTGAACTAAAGACCAGCTCCTGATGTTGCAGCTACTGATACAAACACACACTTCTAAAATGTCTGGAACGACTGCTGTGTGTGGACATATACGACAACAGCTTTGCATGCCCAAGGCATTTTAGCTGCAAGCTTAACACCATGTTTTTTCACCTAGTGTCATCTGGGTCATAGTGAGAAGGAGAGTCCCCTGTAAGGAAGCCAGAAGGAAAACCATGAAAGGAAGTCTTTCAATCAACTAGCAACAAGTGATGACTCAGCAACTGATCTACCTGCCCGAGATATTGGAAACCTGTTTATTATTATTGTTAACATTCTCACCCAAGGCAGGAATTGAGTGGTGTTCCTTAAGTATATCAACACACAAACAAGGTAAGACAATTGTGATCGAGTTTTAAACTTCAGACATGGATTATATATACGATGAGTTTTTTTGAGCGAGTTGGTTTATATGGTGCTTACCTCTTTTCCTTTTATGTGGAAACTGCAAATTTGCTAATTTAAGTGTGGGTTCATTAGAATTTGTTGTGAGTCCTTGTTTTTTGGGAAAAGGAAAAGAAACATTCATCCTTTTCTTTTTGGTCCCTTTTCTGTTGCTGTCCACCACAGAAAGAATTTTCAAAGGGGCCCATTTCTTCTTTGTGCTGCTCACAATGGCTCTGTTGGATTTCCTCTTATTCTGCTGCATCTTCAGATTACCTGCTGGGTTCATTTCCACCTTGGTATCTTCCTGGAACTGGTTCAATTCTGGAATATTCTTAGGTTTTTCAGTTTCAACTCTGATCTCTGCTGCTATGTCAGGAAGCACAGAGTCCGGTGGCAAAACGAAAGCCAAGTCAGCCTCACAGGTTCTGTCAGAAATGCCGCACAGGGACTGAGGATTGCCCGCCAAACAGTCTAAGGCCACGGACATTTCCAAAGAATAGCTGCCGGGGTCAGAAAGGTAAGACTGCAATTGGGAAAATGACTGTTTCGGGCATTTTTCAGAAGGACAAACACTTTCAGACTTATTTGGTGATGGATCACAAGAAAGGGGCAAATTGTCATTTGTGCCAGAAGCTGCAAGTGAATTTTTAGCAAGTTTTGCAAATTTCTGGAAGTACCGCTTCACCAAAATGCTGGAATGGAGTCCCGCCTCAGGTGGACATGCTGTCGCTTCCTGTATGGCATAGTGAAGGCCAGGCAAAACAGAGGTTACTTTTAAAGAGATCTCGTTGAGTTTGTTTTCACAGTTCAATTCCTGTTTTTTTACTGGGGGGGGAAAAAAATAGTACTTCAATAATATAACAATATGATCACGCAAACACACAAACATATCAAAGCTAAAGTAATGTTAAAGGTCTGAAAAACCCACAAAAAGTTATCCCAAAAACAGTCTCCTCACTTTGATGGATGCTTTTAACTCCTGCTAAAGATAAGGAGAGTTCCACATGGATAACAAACATAGACTAGACCCCTCGGAGTCAAGAAAGAAATTCTAAGCTAATTCTCTTTCATTAGCTTGCCCCGTTGTGTAAGTTATTACAGAGGCTTTAGAGAAAAGTGTAACATTACATATCATACACAGATCAAGTTCAGTTATCTGAATGTTTCCAAGGAAATCTGAAATGCTGGGATAAACAGTTTTGAATAAATGAATTTTTGGTTCCATACCAATTTAAAATTTGAGATACCTCAAAATTCAGGTAACTGGGGTTGGTGTGTGCTGTTTATCTCCCTGTTTAGATGCTACCTTCAATAGTATTTGCATCTTTACTATGCCGACCGCTGGAGAAAGTAATTGGCTTGGAAACTACAGTTCTACTAAACAAAAGACGTATAGTACGTTGTGCAGAATAGGGAAAAGAGGGTATAAACAGGAGACGCTAAGGTAATACAAATAAATAATGCCAGAATGCTACTCTCAGCTGGACACATTGCCTCTAATGGGGCCAGGATTTCACCCACTGGGAGTTTTACCATTGACTTCAATGCGGCCAGAATTTTACCACCCATTGTCTTCAACATTAGGGAAACAGCTGACTTGCTGAAGGTACGGATCTCCATTTGTTAAATGTCCCTGCTGTTTGAGGGAATTCTTTGAAGGTAGAGTCAGATGCTTTTCAACCACCCATTTCATGAATAACCAATGTGAGACATGGCTTGCTGGGTTTCGCCAGATGCCCAATTTGTGCAACCTGCTTCATTATTTAGCCTACTGCAATCTCACAATTGCAACACAAGCCCTGGTGAGCCCAAGACTTGATTGACATATGTCACTCTTAGCAAGGCTCCCAGCAGTGCTGCTCCGCTGCCCGTTGCTTGTTCAAGAATGCAGCAGCTCATCTGTTCACTGGGTTGAGCAACCCCCATCGTATTACACGTATCCTACACTCTTCACATCGGGTGGGCTTCAGAGCCCAGGCTCCAACTTGAGCTGAAACTTCAAAGTGCTGTTTACACAGCTATTTTTAGAGCACCAGCCCTGCGAGCCCAAGTCTGTTGACCAGGGGTGGGAGGCTTGCTGCCAAATGTTGTGCAGATATACCACGGGCGGGCAAACTTTTTGGCCTGAGGGCTGCACTGGGTTTCCGAAATTGTACAGAGAGCTGCTTAGGGGAGGCTGTGCTTCCCCAAACAGCCAGGCGTGGCCCGGCCCCCGCCCCCATCCAACCCCCCCTGCTTCTCGGCCCCCCCCCCAGGACTCCTGTCCCATCCAACCCGCCCTGTTCCCTGACAGTCCCCCCAGGACTCCTGCCCCATCCACCCCCCCTGCTCCCTGTCCCCTGACTGCCTCCCGCCACTCCATCCAACCCCTCCTCTCATTCCTGACTGCCACCCCGGGACCCCTGCCCCATCCAAGCACCCCTTCTCCCTGTCCCCTGACTGCCCCTGGAACCCCTGACCCCCGCCGCCCCATCCAACCCCCCCCTCCTTCCAGACTGCCCCCTGGGGACCCCTGTTCCCCGCCCTCTGACCGCCCCGACCCCCATCCACACCCCCGCCCCTGACCACCCTCCCCAAACTCCCCTGCCCCTTTACTGCGCTGCCTGGAGCACCGGTGCTGGGGCACCAGAGCGCCAGGACAGACAGAGCATTGTGCCGGCGGCACAGTGAGCTGAGGCTGCGGGGGAGGGGCTGGGGGCTAGCCTCCCGGACCAGGAGCTCAGGGGCCGGGCAGGAGGGTCCCACGGCCGGATGTGGCCACAGTTTGCCCACCTCTGAGATATACCCTTAGGTAGGCTCACAACAGACACTTAATTTTCAAAGCCTCAAATCTCCAACAGCATAAGAATGGCCATACTGGGTCAGACCAAAGGTCCATCTAGCCCAGTATCCTGTCTACCGACAGTGGTGAATGCCAGGTTCCCCAAAAGGAATGAACAGAACAGGGAATCATCAAGTGATCCATCCTCGGTCACCCATTCCCAGCTTCTGGGAGACTAGAAACACCATCCCTGCCAATCCTGGCTAACAGCCATTGATGGACCTATCCTCCATGAACTTATCTAGTTCTTTTTTGAACTCTGTTATAGTCTTGGCCTTCACGACATCCTCTGGCAAAGAATTCCATGGGTTGACTGTGCATTGGGGGAAGAAATACTTCCTTTTGTTTGTTTTAAACCAGCCTATTAATTTCATTGGGTGACTCCTAGTTCTTGTGTTATGAGAAGGAGTAAGTAACACTTCCTTATTTACTTTCTCCACACCAGTCATGATTTTATAGACCTCAATCATATCCCCCCTTAGTCATCTCTTTTCCAAGCTGAAAATGTCCTAGTCTTATTAATCTCTCCTGATATGGAAACCATTTGATACCCCTAACCATTTTTGTTGCCCTTCTCTGCACCTTTTCCAATTCCAATATATCTTTTTTGACATGGGGCGACCACATCTGCATGCAGTATTCAAGAGGTGGGCGTACCATAGATTTATAGAGAGGCAACATGATATTTTCCATCTTATTATCTCTCCCTTTCTTAATGATTCCCAACATTCTGTTCGCTGTTTTGACTGTGGCTGCCCATAGAGTGGCTGTTTTCAGAGAATTATCCACAATGACTCCAAGATGTCTTTCTTGAAGGGTAACAGCTAATTTAGCCCCCGTCGCTGTATGTGCAGAGTTGGCATGACTATTAATTCTTAGAATTCTAAAGTGAGAAACAGCAACTGTGTAAATTCAGTGCCACCTCTCTTCTCCTCTCCCTTTGCCCTCCCTTTTCCATCTTCACAGCCTCACAAAACCCCAGTACAGAGCCAACCAAAAGGCTCTCCACTCCTCCCCTCAGAGCTAGGAGAGGGTCTACAACAGGGGTGGCCAACCTGTGGCTCTTCAGAAGTTAATATACGGCTCCTTGTATAGGCACTGACTCCAGAGCTGGAGCTATAGATGCCAACTTTCCAATGTGCCGGGGGGTGCTCACTGCTCAACCCCTGCTCTGCCCCAAGCCCTGCCCCCACTCCACCCCCTCCCCCAAGGTCTCTGCCCCTTTCCCCAAGTCTGCCATGCCCTCGCTCCTCCCCCACAGAGCCTCCTGCACATGCGAAACAGCTGACTGCGGCAGGTGCTGACTGGCAGGGCTGCCGGCAGGTGGGAAGCGTTGCAGGCTGGAGCTGATGGAGGGCTGCTGACATATTACTGTGGCTCTTTGGCAATGTACACTGGTAAATTCTGGCTCCTTCTCAGGCTCAGGTTGGCCACCCCTGGTCTATAACAACTTTATTTTTAACACTGGGAAGGAGAAAGTTCAGTTCTGGCAGGAAAGCAAGATTTGAACTGGGTTAACACAGGTCTACAATAGCTCATTCAGATAACTGAAATTAAACAGCATCCTAAAAAGGAGTCCTGTTGAAACCAACAACTGGAAGCTACTAAACGTTAAAATCTTACAGTGCAATCTAATTGAAATTACACTATCAATATAATTTAAGAACTGTAATGTAATTAGAGTACTAATTACTATACATTATCCTCTCCTCTTCCCTCTTTTCCTGGCTTGGAACCAGGAAGTAATGGCAAACTCCTTCCCACATCCACACTGTGCTCAAACCTGCCACTTCATTCTCCACAACACATCAAAGCTCTGTCCTTTCTGTCCCATTCACCTGGGCAGCGCTGGGCTCCAATAATTTCCTGCCTTGACTACAGCAAAATCCTCCCCTCTGGCCTCAGTGACACCCACATCATACCCATTCCAGTCTGTCCAAAATGTGGCCATCAAAATTATCTTCCTTCACAGACTGACCATCTCACCCCGCATTCTGAATCCCCTCCAGTAGCTTCCCTTTGGAGACACATCAAGTTTAAAATTCTCACATTCATCTTCAAAGCTATCCATAACTCTATCCGAGCCTACATCTTGGATCTTGTCTGCTATCACATTTTCCCCTTC